TGCGGATTTACCCCGTTAGCGGTCTAGCCCCGGTCTCCCTTATATATATATATATATATATATATATATATATATATATATATATATAATAATTGTCAGTATAAGTGTAATAAAGATAATTATTAACTGCATCGTAAATATAAAAATGGAAACATTAATTAGTAATAATCTTCAGCACAGAAAACGATATGACATATATAGTTGTTCGTTCGAGATCATCATGTGATAACTGTTACTGGTCATCGGTATCAGGAAATACGAACGGTAAGTAGCTACTGATGGTAAGTTGTAGTAGATATTTATTATTATATTCCCTTGTAAGGATCGAGATCCTATAGCCGTCTGTATTACCGACAAAATTACCATTTTTAGTTCTAGTCTTTCGTCGCATTAATTTGACAGAATTGAAAATGCTTTTCGACGATTGCAGTATATATATCAATGATCCCAGGAAATTCTAATTTTATATGGAAAACGAGAAATAATTGAATTACAGATTTCTTTACCTACTTTTATCTCGATCAATATGGCGTCTCAAGTTGTAGACGAACCGTCAACTCATCATCATAACAGATACACTTCATATAACATCAGTTGCAAAATATACTTGGTGTTTTTTTTTACATTTTTAATGTCTTTTTTAGGTGGATCTATTATAAAGTGAATAATTTATGTTCACATGTTAATTATAAAATGTTATCATGTTAATTATAAAATGTTATCATGTTAATTATAAAAAATTATAGAAATTAATCATAATAAGATTATCATATATGCGATCTTAAAAGATGTTTTGTTACTATATGAATCGTGCAGTGATTAATTAGTAATTTCGTGAATTTCTTATTGAGGTATTGGAACACCATCAATTCTCAAGTGTATATTTTATAAACAGAGCTGTATTAAATTCTTAATTTTCTTTTGTTTTTATTTCCGCTATTATATCATATCTAAACAGCATGTGCTGCATATATCTCATTTAAACGCTACGGTATACTGCTCTAATTATAATTTCAAACAAAGAAGTAAAAAAAAGTTAACCTTAAAAACTAATAAAAACTAAATAAGCTGCGCACACAGTGAGTTCGATTTTTCAAAAGTATCCAATCATTTATTATAAGGTATTCACAGTTATCTTGACTATTTGATATTGTAATAAACAGATGATGTTGCCAAACAAAAACAAATGGGTAAAGGTAGGAGTTAAGGTGCCTTTTCACGTTAACGCTCGACGCTCATTTTCAGCAAGTAAAAATCTTCAGAAATAATATCTTTTATTTATATATGTATCCATAAAATATTATTATTTGAAGATATTACTTGAAAATAATTACTATTTTACGTATTTTGAAGTCTATGTTTGATTATACTGGGACGATTAACGACGATTCAGCGACGACGCTGAATATTAAACAAATTCAACTTCATTTCTTTGACGCTAACGTCAAAGCACCACGTTCACCTTATTGACGCTCATTTTCAACGTCTCATGAATTGGCACCTTTATAAGTGATTCTGTGCCCTTGTGTGAGTGCGGCCAGTTTAGTTATATAGATTCGTTGTCACAAGTCATTTGAAAATAACGTGACTCTCTTAAAATGAGTATTCTAATATCTAATGAAGATATATCTTCTTTTGCGAGACCAGGTATTTCAGTTATTTAATTGGCTACATAAGTATAACACATAACATTTTATATTTATTTTTTTCTTAAAGGGAAAATATAATTAGAAATGTTCGCGGAATTAAGATATTGGAAAGACAAACGTATGTTCTGCATGTATCTTTAGGTCTTTAGTAATTTATAGTTTTCAAAATTAAATTATTCTCCTATAGTGTAAACTAATTGACAACATTCTGCGCTTCTTCTTAAATGTATAAAATATATTGTATTTATTATACAAGTCTGTAAATTGCTTGCATTTTACAAATAATATTACACGCAATTATTATATAATAATTTTAATTGCAATATACAATTTTTTGTCATGTACGCATTACATTCATATATCATTACTATTATCATTACTATTATCATTACTATATTATTTATTACTTATATTTCTTTAATTTCTGAATTATTTTAATTATTGGCACTTGCTTATGCAAACTGTTTGTAAATTGAAATTCTTTAGTTGACAATTAATCGTTCTATTCATATTCATTGTTAAGTATTATCATCATTAAAATAAAACTAACACTATTATTAATATCAATGGAAGAACACACAATAAATATTAATACAATAAGATATTTGTATTTAATACATTTATCTGCCTAATATATACATAGAAATAAATAATTATTGGTTTTAAACTTTTAATTAAATTTTTATTTATATTTTAATAAAAAATGAGACATACGAATCTTTTTTTGCATTATATGTCGAAATAAAATTATATATATTTCCAAGTTTTGCTACTCATGTTATCAAATATTCAATATTGATTATCAAATATTCAATAATATTTGATATTGAAGACTAGATTTGTAATGTAATAGTCGTTTAATATTGTTAGTGTATATGTTCGGTGGAACATAGGTGGCGGTGATCGAGCCGTCGTAGGAGCGATTGAGCATAATTCAATTGTCTCAGCGATCAAATTTGTTGTTAATTAAGGTAATCCTAAAGCCGTGATCCTAGCCGGTTTTTTTCGGTTTCTTTCTTAGCACTAATCTTTTAATTGGCTTTATAGAAATGCAAAATTCTTGTCTAGAATTAAAGTACGCATCAAAATCTAGGTCATGGTGGTCGAATTTATATCAAAAACGAAAAAAAATTAATATTTTTTGTTATACGTGACGACCACCACATATAAATTCGACCACCATGACCTAGATTTTGATGCGTACTTTAAATCTAGACAAGAATTTTGCATTTCTATATAAAGTCAATTAAAAAATTAGTGCTAAGAAAAAAACCGAAAAAAACCGGCTAGAATCACAGCTTTAGGATCACCTTAACTAGGCAACGAAAAAGTCAGTCAATCACGCGAATCTTCGTAGTGTTAGACGATTCATCGCGCCCTTCTTCGCGAAACGATTTTATTTGTACGGTGATATTATCTCACGTAGAAAGAGCCGAGTCTTTCAAACAAGTACGCGATCGAGCCGAGTCTCGATTACGGCCGGGGCCTCGTTCGCGATACCGCGGCGAGTGTCGCTATTAATCCTTTACATACACGTATTCTCACTATTGTCCATCCAATTGTACGTTATGCGAACTCTGGGGGTTTTTATGCCTTAATAAGCTTTTTCCCTATGAGCCAATAAAAGATTATTTCCCTTGGCTCGATATCACGACTTGTTTATTTCACTTATCCATTCCGAAACCGGGAGACTTCTTCATGTTGAAGAGGTTTTCGACGATACAGTATATTTAATTAGTATAAGTTAATTTCATATTTGTTATAAACCAATTTTTAGAAATGTTGTTTGAATTGCATATTTATTTTTACTAACGAAGGACAACAAAAAAGATAATTTTTGATATATTTTACGAATATATATTATTGAACAATAAGTAGTGGAATGTGAAAATATTTATTTATTTTAACGTATAATACAAGAAAGTCGACACACAAACAACGTTCTATCAATGAGTAATAAAGACAAAACTATATTTGTGTCGACTTGTGTCGCTCTGTTGGAAAGGCGACAAGTAGAGGGAACAGAGCCTCCCGTCTCTTTGCATTTGGATTCGCAAAATCGCCCTTCTTTCGCTTACAACGTGAAAAGTCGGCCTCACTTTCTCTATAAAAAAATAAAACAGATCGACTGCCGATTTTTACTTTAATCGCGCTAAAATGACAATCGATCATTACGATCGCGATATTCTCTTGAAAGATACGTCGGGATGGAACCGCGCAGAGGCGCGTTCCCGAATGGACCGAGCCGCGGGATAATAGTATTAGGATGACAAAGAGCGACCATGTTACCGCTATATTGATATTAAATATAGCACGCGCAGTACGGTATCGAACTCGTAAATTTCGCGAAAGTAAAACTGCATTATTAATTTGTACGACGAAGAATCGTGACTGCCGACCGCTAATTTACGCGACGCGAGATATACTAGATTCCCAGGTAGCAAGCACTCGTCATTTTGACGTCAATTGACGTCAAAAGTCTGTCATTTTGACGTCTTTTGACGTCAATTGACGTCAAAATAACGAGTGCTTGCTACCTGGGTTATGACGCATTCATGAACGGGAAATGTATCACAGTGTTCCGTTACTCAAATTAAGACCCGAGCACATAGAAAAACTTAAATAGTAAGACGTAAGCAGTAAGGAAATCAGCGATATGGATTTGCTACTGCTTACGTTTTATCTTAGTTCTTGACTGTGATTGGCTGATTTGCTCACTGCTTAAGTTTTACTGCTTAAGTTTTTCTATGTGCCACAGCCCTTACTCGACAGTATCACTCAGCCCTCTTTTTCTCTACGGAGAAAATCGGAGATAATACCCTAAGAGCACATAGTTGACGGAAAGTCGACGGTAAGTCGACTTTTATAAGTCGACTTCTAGTCGGCTTCTAAAAATGGCAGAAAGTCGACTGAAAGTCGACTTCTAAATAGGCGACTTCTAAAAATGGCGGAAAGTCGACTAAAAGTCGACTTCTAAATAGTCGATTTATAAAAGTCAACGGAAAGTTGACTTTTATAAGTCAACTTCTAGTCGACTTCTAAAAATGGCGAAAAGTCGACTAAAAGTCGACTTCTAAATAGTCGACTTATAAAAGTCAACGGAAAGTCAACGGAAAGTCAACGGAAGTTTTAGTCGACTTCTAAAAATGACGGAATGTCGACTAAAAATCGACTTCTAAATAGTCGACTTATAAAAGTCAATTTTCCGTCGACTTTTATAAGTCGACTTCTAGTCGACTTCTAGTCGACTTCTAAAAATGGCGGAAAGTCGACTAAAAGTCGACTTCTAAATAGTCGATTATAAAAAGACGGAAAGCAGTCAAGCGGCGCGTCATCAATATGGCGGCGAATCTCGAGGAAGCTGGAGGAGAAAATTAATGTTTACGCGAGTGCAAGGAATACATGCCGCAAGACAGGACACGATAAGACGTCGAAAAGCGCCGCGCTATCAACCACCGCCACGAAACGTCGTCGTCGTCGTCATCATTGTCTTCCCGTTGACTTCCTCGATTAGATCAGAATACTGGAATTTGACTGTATGTATGTTGCAATATGTTTGAGACGGTTGTCTACATTGTCTACAACAAGAATTGTTACAGAATGCCGTTACCAACCGACATGGAAGCGAAATTGCTGCGCCAGATAGTTCTTGCAGGTATGGCAGATCTAAAAGAGGATCAGGATAAGGCCAAGTGGAAATATGCTTTAGAGGTTAGGTATGGTGTGTTATTAATCATCATCGATAATTAAGACCTATTGAATGCGACCTCTCTATTCTGAACCATCTTTCAGAACACCATCAGAAATGGAGGAACCTGGTTCATGCATTCTTCGTGCGTTCTACGGAAAATTAGTCCGGAATAGGTGGTTTATAAAAAGGTGTACGAAACGAATAAGATGTATATGCGAGGTGTCACGGCGATAGAACCCGAATGATTGCCGAAATTCGCTTCCACGCTATGCCATCTTAGTGAATCATTGGTTGATCCACCGCCAAGGTATTTTTATCACAATTGTTGCTTTATAATGTTTTCCCTATTTATTTATAAAGATATTAATCTTCATTATGATCGAATATTATTCTCATTTATAGATATAATCAAGGAACCGGGAAGATCATTTGCCGCGTGTCTGGTACATATGGAAAGGCCGGATGGGGACTACCATCGATGGATATAGAGCATCTGTGGACGGTGTAAAGTGGTTCGCGTATTTCTTCTTGGAGGGTCAAGTGTACCCTAAGCTGAAACGATTTGTTCCGTCGTTGCTGACGACACCTGGGAGCATCACCAAGTCATGGGCCAGGTAAATCGTTATTCTATCTCCTTTCGATTTCACGTTGATTCATCGAATTTTTTTTACATCAGATTACATCAATTCAATACGATTTTTTCAGGTTGATACCACGCACTCAAGCAATAGTACAAACGTTGCAGTCGCAGGGAGTCGTGTCCAAATACAAACTGCTAGAAATCTGGGGTGAAAAATGTGAGATTTTAATTTATAAAATAATATTTAGATATTATCATCGAGTAGACTTCTATACAATACTAGACCGCTGACAGGCATCTCGGCCGTGATGCTTGCCGCCATGTTGATTTTAGTCAAAATATGCTATACTACAGATTCTATACAAGTAGTTTTATACAAGATTTCTATACAATAGTCTGGCATATACAGAATGTCCAAAAAAAAGGGTTTAATACTACAGGAGTAGTGGTTCGATTTCGGCATTCAAGTAGCTACACGTTGAAGGCATGACTTACAAACTTATTGATAACATGTACCAATATTTAACACAAAAACATTCGCTTGCTTTGTTATGTACTGTAATAACGAATGCAGATAAACGCACATCATGAGCAACTGAACACCCGATAGTAACTTATTGTTAATTCAATATGGCCGCACCCTTCACTAACACTTGCACCTCGCACTCGCATCAGCTTTTCGGCAGTGCGTCCATAGATGTTAATGGTCTAGTATAAAAGTCTGTGGATATTATATATTTATAATTTTAGTTCTGTTGTCAGCTTACAAGAAGTGGCTGCCGGAATCCGCGCACGCAGAAGTGGCACATATATGACGGCACACAGTGGCCGCCTTTGTAATTAAGAATAAAACATTAGGATTGTAATTATACAGTTTTTTAGATAATTAAATTATTTTATATATGAAAAAAAATTGAAATACATCAGTTTTAGCCTTACAGCAAAGGGTCGATTGTGTATCTTAAAATAATGAGGTAAAAATTACAAAAGTGAGAAAATTCATTAGCGTATCTACAATTTTATTTATCAGAATCTAATAAAATCTGTTAACTTTTGTCATTTTTACCTCATTTCAAGATACACAACCGACCTCCAGACGTACGCGGCGGCGGTTTATTTTATCGACTTTAAAAGTTGGCGGGAAGTCGACTTTCCGTCATGACGGGAAGTCGACTTGAAGTCGACTTCTACCGAAACTGACTTGGCAGAGAAGTCGACTTTTTTAAGGACGAAAGTCGACTTGAAGTCGGCGAATATCTCAAAAAACGCCGACTAAAAGTCGACTTTCCGTCATGACAAGAAGTCGACTTCCCGTCATGACGAAAAGTCGACTTTTAGTCGGCGTTTTTTGAGACATTCGCCGACTTCAAGTCGACTTCAAGTCGACTTTCGTCCTTAAAAAAGTCGACTTTCTGCCAAGTCAGTATCGGTAGAAGTCGACTTCAAGTCGACTTAAAGTCGACTTTTTGCTCTTAGGGTAATCACATCGGAGACAATTCCGGCACTGCGTTCAAAGCGCGACACGCGATAAATAAAATGCTATGTTTAAATCCATAAATATGGCGAGACGAGCGCCACGATTATCGCCCGCGAATATCACGATGACGAAAGTAAAACGTTCGCATTTGCCGCACATACCTTCGCTCGTCGCCGACTTCGCCTCGACGTCTCCATCTCAATATCTCTGTCTCAAGCGAGCGATTCGCGCGATACGTTTATTCCGACCAACACTTAATACTTAATTAAGGGGTAACGCCACTCTAGAGCCCCAAAAAAACCCAATTTTTGATAATTTTTTTCAGAAATACAATAATCATAAATGAAAATTGGTTTAATTCTATTTATTATCTATATATTAAAGTATAAAAAAAATTTTTTTATTGACAAAATGGCGGCGCCAGAGCCATTGATCCAAAATGCCTTTTTGCGGAAGTCGTCCAACGGGCGAAATCGAAGCTCCTATAATTTCTGAGCTGGAACAAAAATTCAAAAATTATTGAAAAATATATAAGATTTTCTATAGAAGTACCTATGGACTTTTCGATAAGTTGAACAAAACTTTTTTTATAAACCAATTTTGTGCGAAATTTTTTAGCGAAAAATGAAACATTTTTTTCCAACATGCACCATTCTTAGGTACAAAAAATGATATTTCGCAATTCCCATAGGTACTTCTATAGAAAATCTTATATATTTTTAAACAATCTTTAAATTTTTGTTCCAACTCAGAAATTATAGGAGCTTCGATTCCGCCCGTTGGACGACTTCCGCAAAAAGACACTTTGGATCTTTGGCTCTGGCGCCGCCATTTTGTCAATAAAAAATTAATAAAAAAAATTTTTTTATACTTTAATATATAGATAATAAATAGTATTTCTGAAAAAAATTATCAAAAATTGGCTTTTTTTGGGGGACTCTAGAGTGGTGTTACCTTTTAATACACTCGCAAATGATTGAACGCGTACGGCACGTACTCGCGTAGGCGATTATTCTCGCGGCCTGCGAAATGAGGAGTAGGAGTGCCAATCGCAGAAACGAGCGCGTTCCGAATAACACACAGCACCAATTCGCTCTGTGCAGTCGGTTGGAGGGGATAGCTACGAGCTACGGAA